AGGGCAATTAGAGAGGCAGGAAATTGGCTTTAAATTAACTGGATTGTTTGACATTCAAAATAAGTCAATGGCTATCTATCCCGTAACCTGAAGTTTTATTTATAGATAAATAGCACAAATTAATTATTATTAACATTATCTTACCAATGTTTTTTTCCAGTTTATTTTCAATATTTTATGGCGAGAGTATTTCACTGTTGTGGACAATCATCCAGTTGCGTTGGCAACTACATCTACATCAACATTGCCAGTGACCACCCCTCAAAGTGCAGAGCATATTGAACTGATGAAGATGATTGAATGGCCACTGGCTCCAACCAACATACACCTGCAATTTTCCACCCACCCAAAGACTTGTGCATATTTTATAATCAATCCTTATGCTACTTATGTGGTTGGTGAATCACTGGAGCTTCTAATTATAGCGAAGGACCACAAGGGTCAGACAAAGAAGTATGGTGGAGATTTCTTGCATGTGAAGCTTTACTCTTCGAGTATGAAGGCTGGAGTAAGTGGCTCTGTTGAGGACAATCATAATGGTTCCTATACAGCCAGATTTATTTTTCAGTGGCCTGGAGAAACTAAGATCTCTGTTAGACTCATGCAATCCAGTGAAGCTATCGCAATTTTGCATGAGAAGAGGGATTCACGACCAGATAAGGTAATACAATTGATCAGATAACTGTATATGCAATAAGGCTGGATAAAATATTTAAAAAAAGGTTCTATAAGAAAGAGCAGCAGTGTCAGGATCCGCATCTGAACCAAAGGCCTCTGCTGGGTCTGGCGGTGGTTCTACCTGCTGAGCCACTCTGAAACCTTGGATAGCTCCTTGCCCGATCTCCTGTGTAATCCTCAGGTAAACCTAGTTTCTGCTGAACTCTGAACTCCTTGCTCCTCCCTTGAACTTCCTATTTTAGCCACGCCTCTGCACTTCCTGTTTGCCAGATTATTGTGCTCCTGCCAATATCTTGCTTCCAGCTCCCTCTGTGATACAATCCGCTCATACCGCTACCCGTGTACCGACCTTTGGCTGCTGATTCACCAACTTCTCTCATCGTCTTCCGATTCATACCTGATACCTTTGACTACTGACCTTGGCTTGTTCGCTGACTACACTTCTGCCTGCTCCTATACTACTACTGTCTGCTTGTGTACCAAACTTGGCCTGTTATACCACGAGTTTGCCTGCTGTTTCAGCTACTGAACTCTGAGCCTGATCCTAGATCGTAACAAGCAGTCACCCTACTGTACTGATTAAAGAAATGAGAGTGATTTTGGCTAAATAGATTGGAGAAATTGCGGTGAAGAGATACTCCCAATTTCGCTTATTAAGCTGGCCACGGTGTATGCACTTCAGTTTGAAAGGCTTGCTTAGATCAATATACAATTCAAATACACAAAGCATTAACACCCCTCCATGTTGTTCCACACTTGAATGTAATTCACAGCCAGGGGCATGTATAGATCGCCACTTTGGAGTATACCTCAATAAAAAAATGGATGAGGGAAAAATATAGCATATAATGCAAAATCCTTTATTATAGTACAACTGGGTACCTACAGACAGCAGGAAGTCAGTAAAGCATTGCACACTAGAAAGCACTTATTTATACCATTCCAAAAGGAAGCACGTCCATGTAGTTGCATGAAAAACATTGGGAGGTCTATTTTAAATCAGATGCATGACTGCATTTATTTGGTAGATCTCCCACACTAAGCCACCATTCACACTTGAGCATGAGCATTTCCAGGAAAAATTTGTAGTGTTATTTTGTGCATTTTCATGCTTTTTTTCATGCACATACACATTTATTAAATCCTTTTTAATGCGTTTTTCACGTTTTATTAAAGTGACACTAAACTCAGGAGTTAAATCTTAAAAATACATTCAAGTACCATTTCTATTAGCAAAAATGTATCTTATTTGTGTATCACTCGGCAGTAGATCCTCAAATCCTCTCTGAATTGGTGCTGACACTGTCCTTCCTTCTGGAGGGGGGGGCTACTTTTCCCTGTGTATGTTGTAAAGTAGTCACCACTCCAGGTCCGCTCCCAGGTTGGACTACAATATCAATATAAATTAGTTAACTAAACATGAAATTATAGTCGATAACGGGAGTGAGCTTGGAGCGGTGACCAGGGCAGGTGACCGGGGCTTTAGGCCGGGCCCCACCCCACCCCACCGTGCCGCTGGACGCAGGGCTTAGTGACGTGCTGGACGCAGGGCTTAGTGACACACTGGACATAGGACCCACCTGAGAGTGACCCTGCAGAGCCCACCATAGATGCTGCACAGCCCATCTGAGACTGTCTATGGTGGGCTCTGAAGGGGTCTCAGGTGGGCTGGTCAGGGCTGCATCCCTCCCCTCCCTCCTTTCCTTCCTTCCTTCCTAGCTCCTCTTACCTGCACACATGGCCTCGTCTGCAGCCAGACCAGCCAGAAGTGACGTCACTTCCGGCCATTCTGACATCAGACGAGCAGCGTCGCTTATGGCGCCCTAGCGGCAATGCTGGGGCCCTGCACTGCCAAGCCTCCGCCTCCTCGCCCTTCACCGGCGGCCGATAGTCATGTAAGGGACCCGGGTGGGCCCCCCAGGCTGCCCGGGCCCCTTACATGAGTACCCCCCTGATGGCTGCCCTGGCGGTGACTACTTTACAACACACACAGGGACCATAGGGAACAAAAGTAGCCCCCCTCCAGAAGGAAGGACAGTGTCAGCACCAATTAAGAGATGACTTGAGGATCTACGGCTGAGTGTAAAAAACTTGTAAATAGTTAAGGTACTCAAATTAGTGTTACTTTGAGCTGCTAATATTTTTGTTTTGGCCAGTGGGAAACTGTATTATCTTTGTGGTGTCAAGGCGTCTTTCATTCTAGGAAAACTTCATGCCCAATTTCTTCTTAGGTCCTCTAACGCTTCCCACTATTCTTGTATTGGGCATCACTTGGGTCATTGTGGTTTTTATTCATTTTCAGTATGAACTTTACCTAATCTTCCATCTTGATCAGTCTTCAGGTTTCTATGAAGAGGAGACCAGATGTTAGATGCAAAGGTGCCTGAAAAACGCACTAAAATACTTCTGTCATACAGGTGCTCCCATTGAAGTCTATGGGGTCAAAAATGTGCAATTCCATGAGAGAAAAAAATCCATGTACTTCTTCATGACGCTCAAGTGTGAATGGGCACAATTGAATAGAATGGGATCTTCACATTGAGCATTGTTGTACTCACATTCAGGTGTGAATTGGGGATAACAGAAGTATGCAACAGAAGAATAGGGTTCCCACTTTTGTTTCATAGGATAATTCTTTTTTGCTACAAGAAAAGAGCCCAAAAAGCTACATGTGTGTCCATGCTTTCAGGAAATTCTCACTAAAGTTTTATTAGACTAAATACATGTTTGCTTTTGCTGTACAGGTGTTCTTTAAAGGCTACTTTGAAAAAAATGGGACTCGTGAAGTGGTTGAATGCAATTTCGACCTGCCTGGGCAGGATGTCTGTGAATATTATGATCAACACAATGGAGAGAAGTGGGTGTGTCAGCGGCCAAAAGTCCTCCCCTGCGATTCATATCGGGACCACTCATCAGGAGGAAACCGTAAGATCCTAAGCAAACATGAGCAACCATTCTTCTCAATGTAATTTATTTGGTTCCTTCTATTTTCACTTTGTATACATTAATGTTACTGAATTATTGAGCAATTGTGTCCACCATATTGTAAAGTTTAATTGAAGCCCAACCCTAGCTTCCATTTTTAAAAAATGTTTTAAGTGCACATTTAAAGTGATATTATACCTATATTATTTTGTTTTAAGATGAGAAGGTCCATGAAAAGTACATTATGTTAATATTCTTCTTGTTAAAAGTTTTTTTTCCTCCTCCTGCAGCTGGTCCCCAATCTGCTGATCCCCTTGCCTTTCCTCAGGTGTCTCCTTGAGCTAGTTGGCACACCAGTGCATGCACGTTCTTGGCTGTGATTCGTGCCTAGCTGTGTCCATAGATATACAGAGTGCTTGGCAAGCCACACCCCTGCTCCCTCCACAACTCTCCTCCCAACAGCTTGACTGACAGAAACAGGAGCCTATCACTCCACTGCCCTCAGTACACTCCCAAATGACCAAAAAGTTCAGGCAAAGGCAGATACTGTATCTTCCTAGACCTGGCAGAGATGGCAAGGGACAATAAGTAAGTGTTTGGGTGTAGCAGATCATGGACAGGTATTGTCAGAGAATGCATTAAAGTAAAAAAGTACTAGGCTGTAGTACTACATTAAACATTAAAATAAGCATCTCTCCCCGCAATACTCACCCTACTTTCTCTGGCACTGTCCCATGCAGACTCGCTGATCTGGAGTCCCATGATGGCCATCTTTTAGATTAAACAAAAAGTTACTTTATACGTGGCTGCAACTGGCCAACTGCAGCTAATCACCATTGTTACCGCTGTTTATATTTTAACTGGCACTGATATATTAACATTGGGTCCTGGCACTTTGTGCCCAGTGGAGAAGAGCTGCACAATACACAAAGTATATTCCCAGTTTCTAAATAATTAATAATCCTCAAAACTTTCAGGAGTTCCCATTGTTTTTCTAATGTTTTACATTGTGGTAAGTCCTAGGTGTCTCTGGTGGTAGACATGTGCTCAAATCACAACTAAAGAGTGTCTGATCTTTAACCCTCCTTTTATCAGGTTGGTGATGGTAGGAACTAGGGATGTCCCGATACCGGTACTAGCATCGGTATCGGGAACAATACAGGGCATTTTCACAAGTACTTGTACTTGTGAAAATGCGCCGATACATAGCGCCGAAGCTTGCGCTATTTTTTTTTTCCTTAACTTCCATCCAGCTAAATTAGCTGAGCAAAGCGGAAGCAGAGCAGAGAGATTGTTTGACACGTTCAGGAGGGTGGTGCGGGAGCTGTACGGGGAGCTGAACGGGTGCCAGATCGTCAGATCGGAGCGACTGCTTGAACGTCAGAAGGAGGAGAGAGCGACTCCAGTAACAAGCAACGAGCGGCTGAACTGACAGAAACAGAAGCGAGTGGGGGAGTTGATTGATTGGGCTGTGACAAGGTCTGGATGCTTAGTGAAGAGGAGAAGGGGGAGTGATAACACATGCATGTGACTGGAGGACGCAGCGGCTGAGGGTGAGTGGTGAGCTGAGAAAAAGAAAACAAAAATTGTTGATGTTTGACTGCATTGAATTGAGCTAATTTGAATATAGTACAATAAAGCCTCACTGAGTGTACTCTGTGTGAGCAGAAGGTGGATTGGCATTAGGGGCAGGCTGAGCAAAAGCTAAGTTGGGACTGAGTTTGACAGTGTTTTGAAAAGGGGACAGGCTACCTAGCTGAACTACTTGAGGTTGTAGAAGGAAAAAAGAAAATACATTGTGTTTTGTGTTTATTTTTGTCTGTATGTCTGTAAATCTATTGTCTGCAGCGTGTGCTCTATTTGTACTACATATAGAGTATACACTGCAGACAATAGATTTACATTTATCCCCTGCTAATATGAATGGATTAAATGATCCATAGTACATAATATGGTAGCACATAATATGTAGTTGTACTATGGATCATTTAACCCATTCACTGTAGCTGTGTGAAAGCAAATACAAATGTTTTATTGTTCTAAAACAGTCTTAAATGAAAGTGGCCTAAAATCATAAGTCTGTATTGTATTTTTTAAAATGTCACCTGTCCCTTTAAGAAAAAGTATCGGTAATTGGTATCGGCAAGTACACGAGGGGAAGTACTTGTACTTGTACTTTGTCCTGAAAAAGTGGTATCGGGACATCCCTAGTAGGAACCCAGATGTGGGGGACTTGCCAGTACAATTGGTACCTCTAGTCAAGTAAACTAGGATAAAGTACAATCTCCTGTGTAGTGGTAGCCAGTACAGGGGCAGTCCAAGAGCACAGCAGCAGAATCAGAATCCAAAATCGAAGTAGCAGAACGTAGCAGAGGTCGTTGCAGGCAGCAAAGTATCAGGGTCACGAAACAGGCCAGGGGTCAGCAACAGGAATCAGAACAGGTATAACGCTAGGCACTGAAAGGATAAGCTTAACAATAATCAAGCACCTAATTACTCACCCTTCCTGCCTATATACCTGTTGGCGATGAGATTATGTAATTTCCAGGAGTGTACCACTTGCTTAAAGAGGCGGTCCAGTGCACGTGCATGCCTCTTCCTGCATCGCTTTGGATGAACGGAGGAGCAGACATCGCGAACAGCAGCAGCAAGGAGCAGCTCACCCGGTCTCCGGCTGCACAAAGAGATGATGCAACGGCGTGGGCCCCCCGTAGAAGGTAACAGGTAAGTCCTCACACCTCGAAAAAAGGTAGTTGGTCATGGGTGCCAAATTGATACAGTAATGGAGTTAAGTTCAGGATAGAGATCAGATCAATCTGTGTGGATTAAAAAGTAGTCACCACTCCACGCTCACTCCTGTGATGGACTACAATCTTTCATTTAGTTTACTAATTTGTATTGAGATTGTAGTCCTTCCCGGGAGTGAGATTGGAGTGGTGGCTACTTTATAACACACAAAGGGACCATGGGGAACACAAGTAGCCCCCCTCCAGAAGGAAGGACAGTGTCAGCACCAATTCAGAGATGATTTGAGGATCTACAGCCGAGCGATACACAAATAAGACACATTTGTGTAAAAATTTAGGATACGTGAATGTATTTTTAAGATTTAATTTAGTTTAGACTAGCCACTACACTAGCCACTAGAGGAACATCCCAAGCATGCTCTCAACAAATCTACAGTCATGAATTGAGAACCAACTCTGATGAGGGGATACTGGACAGGAGGCTGGAAAGAGGTCCATGGTATGAGCAACAGGTTGCATTAGCAGGCTAATTTTTTTCCTCACCTGCTATAGAAATTGGGAAAGAAAACTGAAATTGTTACAGTAATCAAAATACTCAACTGGCATACTAGTCTTCTAGTCTTCTGTCCAGCTTTTTTGTTTTTCAATGATGCCTTTTGTTTTAATAAAGAATTAAAAAAAGATTTAAACTTTTAGGAGCCTTATTTTTTTGGCCCTCTCAGGTCACTGATTGACAAAGAAATCCCATCAAGCCTTGGGTCACTTAACGTCTTACCTCAGAAGAATGTCACAAATAGTAGGTATTTTTTAATTGTTTTTTTTTTTTTTTTAAAGTTTCTCTTTTTAATTGAATTGAAGTTAACTTGTTTGAACCATGTGTCAACCCTTTAATGAACCAGTTATATATATAACATAATTGCCAGATTATTTGCATAAAGGAGATTTCTACATCACAGCAAGTCTGTATGCTTGAGGAAAGTTTATTTATTTATCTATCCATAATTATTAAACCCCCTGTGTCCTAGATTGTTCCCTTCTCTGGCCTTCTCCAAACTCTTCACCCTTTAGTGAATAACCCTGTAATTTTCAGATGGAGTTGGGCAGACTTTTACAGGGTGTTGGGTATATAGGAACACTATAGAGAACAATTTTGAATTTATTGCAGTCAGGGCTGGATTTACTCTCTCTGCTGCCCCAAGGCCAGGTTCTTCAATGCGCCCCCCTACCCGCCAATCCCCCCCCCCCCCTGGGGAAAGGCAGACCTGCAGGCTACATACAGGTGATCTCGGCGACATCACATGTACAAAACAAGCGGCAGATTCCCCGCTGTACATTCAGCTCCGCTTGCCCAAAGCAGAGCTACAGTATATGTAGAAAACAACTACCCGCCCGGCACCCAGGAATTTCATGTCCCGGGCATCGGGAGATAGGAATTCCAAAGTCCTGCTGCCCCTCTATTCCCTGTTGCCCCGAGGCCTGGCCTTGGTTGGCCTTGTGGGAAATCTGGCCCTGATTGCAGTTATCTAACAAGCAATATATGGTGAGTTAACTATTCCCTAGACTTGGGACTTATTAGCAAAAAAAAGAAGCTTTTTACAACTGTAGAAACAAAACCTTTATCTCTATGTTTATTTAAAGAAAACCTGTCTACCATTTTAAGGTCTTCAGACAACAACATCAGGTGCCTGCAACTGCAATCACCTTTATTAGACCAGAGACCTATATTTGCCCTCTATTCTGAACCAGTGTTCACAGTTTAAGGTCTTGACTTTTCTGACTTGCAGACTAAGCCCCATCCACCCCCCATCTCCTAGCACAACAACAACACCCTTATTATGCATTAAGGTGATCTTATTAGACTCAGGTGGTGGGCATACAGATTTATATCCAGTGGGTGAGGCTGAGATGGTTTTGATTGGCAACTCAGTGTGCTGCTTCACGTGTGTACGGACCGGGGTGCACGTAGTTGGTTAAGGTGAACAAAGGTGGGAGGGGAAGCGCTCAAACTGAGTTGTACCTGTCTAGCAGGTTGGGGTCTGGCTGGGTGGGGGGAGATGGTGTACTGGGGTCTGGGACTGCTTTGGCGAACAGTGGGTGCTGGTGAGGCAGGATTGGGTGAGGTGGGGGTTGGGGAGGGCGGCCCTGGGGCTCAGGTAGGAGGACAAAGCCAGAGACACAGAACAAAAACAAAAGCAAAAACAAGGAGAGGGGGCCGTGTGAGATGTGTGACAATGGGCATAAAAAATGCATGTACGTAACCACTCACCACCACTCACCAAAGTGGCAGCGTGCAGTTATCGACGGAAATGTTGGTGTAGAAGTTGGACTTCTCGCATGGTCGATCTGGATAGTTGATGGGTGGATCAAGATGTTGCTGATATCAGATCGTCCGGGTGGCGATGGTGAAGGTCCGGTTGACAAAGCAAAATGGCATACAGAGGTTAGGAATTTGAATGAAGCAATATGATGTGAAAAGTAGTAACTCACTACAAGGTAATGGGTGATGTGCTGTCATCGGCGGCGGATGTAGGTGGTGGTCCTCAGGACTTTGCTGTATCCGTGCCTATATGGTGTGCGCAGAAGTTCCTGATGGCCCCGGAAGGATTGCTGCAGTTGTGGTGGGTACCTTGACTGAGGTTGGGGGTTTTGCATACGCAGAAGCTAGACGGCTTAATGTTGGTTACAGGGTTACAAGCTAAATAATCCGGCATAAAGGTAAGTAAAGCCTAACAATGTGGAATGTTGCCTGCCCAAAAGAAAGTCAAAAGTCACCACCTGGATTTAGCTAAGGAAATCCATTGGATAATAGGTCTGAGCAATCTTATGTGCCCAACAAATGAGGTAATCTGCCGACATGGATATACTGAATTACCAGGATTTTCAGGATTCATCGGGCTCAGATTGTGATAGAGTGTTTCAGGGAGCGTGAGACATCATTTTCAGACCTTAACCCCATTGAGAATCTTTGGGATGTGCTGGAGAAGACTTTACGCAGTGGTCCGACTCTCCCATCATCACTGCAAGATCTTGGTGAAAAATGTATGCAACTCTGTACAGAAATCAATGTTGTCACATTGTATAAGATTATCGAAATGATGCCACGGTGAATGTGTGCCGTAAATCAAAGCTAAAGGTAGTCCAATGAAATATTAGAGTGTGTGAACTTTCATAAATCACTGAGTGGTTGTATCCACCATATAGTGATGTTTAGTTAAAGCCAAACTCAAGCTTTCATTGCTTATACTATTTTGGTGCACATTTGAATATAAAAAAAGCATCTTTAACTGCAATACTCACTCCATCTTATTCAATGCTGTCCCCTGCAGACTCACTGCTTTGCTATCCAGTGCTGGCCATCACCTTGGTTAAAAAGATACCTTACCCTACCCTCCCTCCCTCCCAACTCCAGGATATCGTGAGGTGCTTTCAAAACTCCAAATGGTACCTTACAGCCAAAATCTCAAATTCCCTAGGGGGACTGGATGTACTCTAGTCCCACCAAAGTGCAAACTATCCTAACTCCAATGTAGGAAGATCGTCCTTACGGCAACTCCCCATAGACACACCCACTGCCTCCCTTATGCCACCCCTGACATTAGACCCCTTGACGGCCAACCTGTCCCACATGTTCAAGGTAGATTTCCAAATACTGCTATAATCGTTATAAGAACTTGTAAGGCTATTAGCAGCGCAGTTTATTTTCTCTGTGGCATACCAAGCGTAGTTTTTCTTTTCTTTCCCATCTTTTGCTTTTCCTTTTTTGTTACGGATGTTCAATATTAAGCATTGAGTACCATGTTTTAGCTTAGTTGTTTGAATTGCTATTATGAATCCGTACTACTGATAGTGAGGATTGCCTTGTATACTGCCTCCTGATAACGCGAAAAGCCTGCTTCTGTCATTATGATTGTATGAGGCGCATATACCTTTGCTGTTACTATATCGCTCCTCATGTAATTATTATTCATCTTGTATTACATCCTTTAAATGACCAATAAAAATTACATGCTTTAAAAAAAAAAAAAAAGATACCTTATAGTTTGCTGACACCTGCATCAATCACTGTATCAGTACATTAAGATGCTGATACAGTGATTGATGGCAAAAGAGCCACACAGTGGTTCCACAACACAGATCTGGACCTTATCTGTCAAATTGATGGGGGCATGGCATTTTGAGGCCAGTGGAGAGAACTCTATGATGTACAAGGTATGTGCTAGACCCTTACTTTGTTAAGATTTTACAAAACATTCAGTAATTCACATTTTTTCGAATGTGTTCCAAGTGCTAATTGCCACAGAAGTCTAGTCATGACTTTTTCCCTTATATCTGAATCCTTCAGTGTTTTTGTGAACACACTGCCTCATTAATGAGCACTGAGAATCAAATGTTAATATATTAGATGTTGATGGCATCAATGAGAATGGTGATTGTTAATCATTTGCTCCAGGTACAAAGGTTCCATGTGTCCCTGGACTAAAGAATCCAAACCCCTCAGGATTTTATTACCAAGATGTCTGGAAGTCTCTGGTCTGCTCCAATGAACCATTTGACGATCATAATAAAGCAGCAAAATGCCTTGCTGGGAAGATGGTCTACATGTTTGGAGACTCTACACTTCGGCAGTGGTGGGAATACCTAGTGAATTTCATACCAAGTATGTTACAAAGCAGGGAACAAGTAGAACCCCTGTTAGTTTATTTAATTATATTTGTGTCCTTCTAGGAAGATTCCCCCTTGCTCCTGTGTTGTAAATAAGGGCAACTCTCCAATAGGGAACAAATACAGCAATTGAGAATTACAGTTGGCTCCATCCTTCCCTAATGCTACACATACAGTGTTTCATTTCAATTGTGTATCTGTTAGAGAAAATTCCCTCACTTCCTGTTCTGGTGATTAGTGGTGAGAAATTACCCAAACACAACAACAGCAGAAAAAAGATATACACTATATTGCCAAAAGTATTGGGACTCCGGCCTTTACACGCACATGAACTTTAATGGCATCCTAGTCTTAGTCCGTAGGGTTCAATATTGAGTTGGCCCACCCTTTGCAGCTATAACAGCTTCAACTCTTCTGTGAAGGCATCCACAAGATTTAGGAGTGTGTCTATGGGAATGTTTGACCATTCTTCCAGAAGCGCATTTGTGAGGTCAGGTACTGATGTTGGACGAGAAGGCCGGGCTCGCAGTCTCCTGCTCTAATTCATCCCAAAGGTGTTCTATCGGGTTGAGGTCAGGACTCTGTGCAGGCCAGTCACGTTCCTCCACCCCAAACTCCCCCATCCATGTCTTTATGGACCTTGCTTTGTGCACTGGTGCGCAGTCATGTTGGAACAGGAAGGGGAGTCATGTTGGAACAGGAAGGGGCCATCCCCAAACTGTTCCCACAAAGTTTGGAGCATGACATTGTCTAAAATGTCTTGGTATGCTGATGCCTTAAGAGTTCCCTTCACTGGAACTAAGGGGCAAAGCCCGACCCCTAAAAAACAACCCTCCCCCACAATCCCCCCTCCACCAAACTTTACACTTGGCACAATGCAGTCCGGCAAGTACCGTTCTCCTGGCAACCGCCAAACCCAGACACGTACAACGGATTACCAGACAGAGAAGTGTGATTGGTCACTCCAGAGAACACGTCTCCACTTCTCTTCCCTCCAGTGGCGGCGTTCTTTACACCACTGCATCCCACACTTTGCATTGCACTTGGTGATGTAAGGCTTGGATGCAGCTGCTCGGCCATGGAAACCCATTCCATGAAGCTCTCTACGCACTGTTGTTGTGCCAATCTGAAGGTCACATGAAGTTTGGAGGTCTGTAGCTATTGACTCTGCAGACAGTTGCCGACTTCTGGGCACTGTGTGCTTCAGCACGCGCTGACCCCGCTTTGTCATTTTATGTGGCCTACCACTTCGTGACTGAGTTGCTGTTGTTCCCAGTTGCTTCCACTTTGTTATAATACCAGTAACAGGTGACCGCGGAATATTTAGTAGCAAGGAAATTTCACGGGACACCTGAATCCAATGATTTGGAGGGGGTTGTCCAAATATTTTTGGCAATATAGTGTATGTAGACATACTTTAGCCATTGTCTTCATTTTGATTCATTTATTAATGGTATCTTACATTTTAATTCCAAAATATTTAGCTTTAAAGGAGATCAATCTTCATGTGACTCACAACCCAGGTCCACTGTTAGCCACTGATGCAGAATTCAATTATTTGGTCCAATGGAGAGCCCACCAGAAACCTTTACGCATGGAACGTGCCGCAGTACAAGAACTACGCTACATTGCTTCAGAGTTGGATAGGTTGGGGGACCGCAAAGGGATGATCATTGTGTTAACGTGCTGGTCCCACTTCCTTACCTATCCCGTTGGAGTCTACATCCAAAGACTACATCACATTCGAGAAGCCGTAGCGCTCCTGTTAGAGCGCAGCCCCGAGACAAAGATCCTCATCAAGACGGCCAATACTGGTTACCGATTTGACCATGGAAGTGACTGGTTATCATTGCAGCTGGACACTTTAATGAGGGCTATGTTCTCCAAGCTACCAGTTACTATTCTTGACGTTTGGCAGATGACCATCTGCCACCGAGAACCTGAAAACCTCCACCCTCCCAAGGTCATTATTAAAAATGAGGTAGACTTGATGCTTTCATTTATATGTCCTTAGTAGGAATTTGGGGCATATTTTTTAATATCTCTTTGGAACACATTCTACATTATGCTATACCTACCTCTCAGTGTAAACTTGTTTGTTTGTTTGTTTAAAAATTAGTCTTAGTCCGTAGGGTTCAATATTGAGTTGGCCCACCCTTTGCAGCTATAACAGCTTCAACTCTTCTGTGAAGGCATCCACAAGATTTAGGAGTGTGTCTATGGGAATGTTTGACCATTCTTCCAGAAGCGCATTTGTGAGGTCAGGTACTGATGTTGGACGAGAAGGCCGGGCTCGCAGTCTCCTGCTCTAATTCATCCCAAAGGTGTTCTATCGGGTTGAGGTCAGGACTCTGTGCAGGCCAGTCACGTTCCTCCACCCCAAACTCCCCCATCCATGTCTTTATGGACCTTGCTTTGTGCACTGGTGCGCAGTCATGTTGGAACAGGAAGGGGAGTCATGTTGGAACAGGAAGGGGCCATCCCCAAACTGTTCCCACAAAGTTTGGAGCATGACATTGTCTAAAATGTCTTGGTATGCTGATGCCTTAAGAGTTCCCTTCACTGGAACTAAGGGGCAAAGCCCGACCCCTAAAAAACAACCCTCCCCCACAATCCCCCCTCCACCAAACTTTACACTTGGCACAATGCAGTCCGGCAAGTACCGTTCTCCTGGCAACCGCCAAACCCAGACACGTACAACGGATTACCAGACAGAGAAGTGTGATTGGTCACTCCAGAGAACACGTCTCCACTTCTCTTCCCTCCAGTGGCGGCGTTCTTTACACCACTGCATCCCACACTTTGCATTGCACTTGGTGATGTAAGGCTTGGATGCAGCTGCTCGGCCATGGAAACCCATTCCATGAAGCTCTCTACGCACTGTTGTTGTGCCAATCTGAAGGTCACATGAAGTTTGGAGGTCTGTAGCTATTGACTCTGCAGACAGTTGCCGACTTCTGGGCACTGTGTGCTTCAGCACGCGCTGACCCCGCTTTGTCATTTTATGTGGCCTACCACTTCGTGACTGAGTTGCTGTTGTTCCCAGTTGCTTCCACTTTGTTATAATACCAGTAACAGGTGACCGCGGAATATTTAGTAGCAAGGAAATTTCACGGGACACCTGAATCCAATGATTTGGAGGGGGTTGTCCAAATATTTTTGGCAATATAGTGTATGTAGACATACTTTAGCCATTGTCTTCATTTTGATTCATTTATTAATGGTATCTTACATTTTAATTCCAAAATATTTAGCTTTAAAGGAGATCAATCTTCATGTGACTCACAACCCAGGTCCACTGTTAGCCACTGATGCAGAATTCAATTATTTGGTCCAATGGAGAGCCCACCAGAAACCTTTACGCATGGAACGTGCCGCAGTACAAGAACTACGCTACATTGCTTCAGAGTTGGATAGGTTGGGGGACCGCAAAGGGATGATCATTGTGTTAACGTGCTGGTCCCACTTCCTTACCTATCCCGTTGGAGTCTACATCCAAAGACTACATCACATTCGAGAAGCCGTAGCGCTCCTGTTAGAGCGCAGCCCCGAGACAAAGATCCTCATCAAGACGGCCAATACTGGTTACCGATTTGACCATGGAAGTGACTGGTTATCATTGCAGCTGGACACTTTAATGAGGGCTATGTTCTCCAAGCTACCAGTTACTATTCTTGACGTTTGGCAGATGACCATCTGCCACCGAGAACCTGAAAACCTCCACCCTCCCAAGGTCATTATTAAAAATGAGGTAGACTTGATGCTTTCATTTATATGTCCTTAGTAGGAATTTGGGGCATATTTTTTAATATCTCTTTGGAACACATTCTACATTATGCTATACCTACCTCTCAGTGTAAACTTGTTTGTTTGTTTGTTTAAAAATAAAGTAATGTATTTTTTAAAGTAAATGTACATTTTTTCTTAATGAATGTAGGTAGCGTTAAGCACTTAGAATTATGGGGAAGTGGAGTTTTTGAAACTTTCTTTAACTGCTTCTTGACTGAGCTTTTTTCAACTTCTATTCACTAATGACTGATGCACTGTTTAAATTTCTGCTTATTCTACGGCAGTAATACACTGAGTGGCCAGATTATTATGACCACACCCTCATTACTTCGTTGGGCCACGAGATGACTCCACGAGATTACTTCCTTGGGCCTGTTCGTGACTCCACAAGATGATGAAAGGTGATGCGAGGAATCTGACACGGCGCTGTTGCCCTTCTGTTGTCTTGTACCAGTCTTGCCACTCTCCGTTCTGCCCTAACATTGGCTAGTCGCTGACGGCCACAATTCGCACGTTCAGACCCAGATTTTCGGCTGACAGTCCGGTCTTTAAACACTTTAACAACAGCTGCTCTTGAACATGTAACGAATTCTGCTGTTTTGCTGATACTCGCTCCATGGCTCCGAGCGCCAACAATCATCCTACGTTCAAAGGCTGTTAAATCGGGTTGTTTCCCCGTATCTTCAGAAACAAATCACTTCTACTGTCGTGGTAAACACCTGCTTCCCTATTTATAATGGTCTGGCCCTCTAGCAACTTCAGCGCAAAATTATAGCTAATTTGCCTACAAACATCAGGTGGTCATAAAAAACTGACCACTCAGTGTATACTTTCTTACTAAGTGCACCTACACATGTTATATACTGTTTTTTAGAGGACAGGAAGGGCTATATATTTATATCACATATGTGTGCCCAATGCCTCACTTACTATGAATAAAATATAAAATAATTTTAAAAAAAATGTAAAGAAAACACTTTTTTCCCCAGGTTTGATTATTATTTTTTTGAAAAATAGCACAGCTAAAATAAGAATGCATTCAAATAAATTAATTTATGTGTCCTTTATTTGAAAAGACCTCACATCCCTAGGATTTCAGAAATGTTTCTGTACTTTTTAGCCTAAAACTAAAAGTTATTATTTTATTTTTTACTCCAAAAGCTAATAGTAGTCACCTGGCATACAATGTCATACTTAGTGGCAGCGACATACTTTAAAGAACACCATCATAAGGGGGTTAAGCAAAAAAAAAATAACCCCTTTTTTATTGTTTTACATTTATTAAAAAATGTTTACACTTTATTTTTATTTTATTTACATATTACACTATTTTTTTTTTACACTTTTTTTATTTCAATTATATAAATCAGTCATTGTGAATGGATCTCACTATGATTGCTTGATCATTTCAATAATGTTTTTAATTTTTGGTTATTATTAGACCTTTCCAAACTTAGGAACAGCCAATAATAACCTTAGTAACTGACCCTGAAATGCTGATACTGCAGCATTTTCAGGATCAGATCTCACTAAAGACTTCTGATCCTTCCCACAAAGATCAGAAGTCTGATACAAGGGGGGTGATTTACTAACCTAAACACACGCACGCACCAGGTGCGTGTGATTTTCACACAGCAAAACGTATTTATCAACCAAAAAGTCTCTAAAAGCATATTTTCCACTAATGCCATATATGGAAAAATCATGCACATGATGCATATATAATGCTGCTTCCCAGTCTAGACAAAAATGGTTAGCTCATGCATTTATATTCCTGCATTCATCAACGCAAGCAACAAAATAGAGCTAATTTACACAACATCACCTTGCAATTCATGCACAACACACCTGCTGGGTGTGTACACACTACAAAGGTGTCTAGATTCCACCAATAGATCATGCTGGGAGGGAACACACTACAGAGGTGTATACTTGTTCGTGGCGTGTTTATAAGTTTAGTAAATCAACCCCAAGGTTTCAACAAAGAAACATTTTGCTAAATGATTCTATTGCTGAAACATGTAGCAAAAGTGGGATTTCCTAATCCCATGTGGTCAGCTGTCAAACAGAGATGCCTCCAATCTCTGCTCCTATATTTCCCATAGTTTTCCACGTCCCAAACCTTCAGACACTGGCATTCCAAAGGCATACAAACACTAAACCATCTACTCAATCCTCGAGGACTTTGCGTGTCCTTTACTGAACTCTCCAACACCTATCACCTATCTCCCAAACACTTCCTCCAATATGCTCAGATCAAAAACTTTATAAAAGCTCATCTAC